GGTGCTCCAATCCAATACCATTCTTCTGGCAAATTCCTTGGCATTATTTTTTTCTCCAGAGTATCCTGGCGAGACCATATCTTTTTACATTAAAGAAATAGCCGCCTCCGAATCTTACGGGCTCTTTCCCATATACTCTGGGGCTCAGATCACAAAACTCCATCTTCAAGTTACCTTGATCCTGTCCACTCATGATTATGGATACCATATTTTCTATCCTAACTCTATCTCCCTTGCTCATCTTGATACAGTCCTCCAATTCTGTTTTTAGTGAGCCCTAGGTGCCTTCCGCTTCTCTCCAGTTGAGAGCCTGTACATTGAGTCAGCTTACTATCTCTCTCTCAACGCTGTACCCTTCACTCTCTCCGATACTTTCCGTCACCAAACCAATGATCCCACAATCACTACTTCTTACTTTTGCTTCTTGTTTTTACCTGTCCCTTAACCCATTCGCGCCAGGTAAAAATGAACAAAAAATGGGGGAAATGCTGTGCTCATTTTTTATATTTTTTAATGAAATTTCTCTACACTAGATGGCTCTGCTTTACCTGATTTCATTTGGCGGGAAAATTCATTTTTACTAGTGCTATGAATATCGATGGTTATTTTTATTATAAACATTATAATTACTATAATGTTATAAACATTAGTAACAGCAAATTAAGATAATGCAAAATAATTTCGTAAATTAAAGAAAAGGGTAAACAGACGAGACAGGCAGTACAAGTGCAAGTGGAGCCATCTATGTTTTTAAACAATCAAACAAGTAAACTCACTGTGGGCCCGTCACGTATACGTAACGCCCGGCGCGAATGGGTTAACTTTCCCTAGCCACGCTGACTATCTCATGATCCCTGCTTCCTACCCCACGTTCCCTGCTTCCTACCTTTGCTACTTGTTTACCTATTTCCTTTTCCATTCGTAAGGATATCTTCCTCTCCTATTCTCCCTTTCCCCTTCATGGCTTATACTTTACCCCCTTATTCGTTTTCCCTGACCCACCAAAATCAGATATCCCCACATCTGTCCTCCTCACAGATTTCCTTGACCATGTCTCCACTCATTCTTTCAGTATTCATGTTTACACTGATGACGACAAATCCACCCCTAGGGCTGGTTTCACAGTA